TGATCTCAAAGGTCTGTTCCAAACTACTTAATTCTGTGATTCTGTTAAAAAGTATGAAGCTCCAGATGTTCCTGCTGGAAAGCTGGGGCACTTTTATACAGACATTGTGTSTTCCAGACTTTAGGATTGTGCTTTTTCCATCTTACTTACATTGTACTCTGTTTATTGCAAACAGTAGTTCACACTTCGCATCTGTTTCTTCTCATCCCTAGTTTTTGGGGGGAGTTTTCTGYTGCAGTTGTAACTGCTTGATTAATTAGCTGAACTGTGTTAACCTAAATCTATTTGGATTAGGTTTCAATCACTTTCTATTTTGTATTTGCAGAAACGCTGCTGTGAGTTAAATCACCTACACTTTAAGACTTGACCAGTTTATTCCTGTGGGGAAAAATAATCTAAAATCAATCAATAAAATTCCTACAGAAACCCTTCCCATTATTTACTTCTCTTTCCCAGTATCAGTCTTATMTTACCACAGTMWCAATTGGTTTATAGACACTCATTCCTCTCAATGCTAATAAATCATGYGCTTAGGAATTGGTTTAAAGATAACATTCCTAGCTCTCACCAAACAGTTGCAAGTAATAAAGATAAAATCTGAAGTAATCATCCCTGTCTTTCTTACAGTATGAGCTGGGATTTTTTTACCATTGTCSTCTCCATTTGGGCTTACTTAAATTGTTCAGCTTGCAATCCCCTTTTGCCTAACCTTTTGCCRTGCAAATATATGTAGTTTCCGTGCTGCATATTTTTCAGGTATCATACGTTTATTACCTGAACTCAGCATTAATAGTCTAGATCATTTTGAAGGACATAGAAATAATTTTTCTCTCTTTTAGCTTTACCTTGTGWCCTGTTATACTCTCCCTTTTCTACCACTTTACCTTCTTTTTTCCCCAACTTCCTGGATTCATAAAAGGGTTTTACCTGAAGTGGATGATGGCCAGCCCAGCTAGCCATGCATTTTCATAATCTTCTTTGCAAGCCCTTTCTCATGATTTTAGGGTTGCATTAATCTGKTTTTTTTTAAGTTTTACATTATTGGCACTTTCTCTTGATTTACAAGTCAGTTCACCCCTTTCCCCAAGTTCTTAAAATAAAAAGAAACTTCTTTTTTCAGAACTTCTGCTACATAGTTGGACATAAGTTATTTTGCCTCTGATAACGCAGGGAATAGAAACTTTCAGTTCCCCTGAAGCTGCTAGATAGAGCTTAAAGACTAACTGGCAAAAAGAGGTAAAATAATGTGAAAGTATGTGCACAGAATGACAAATGCAGCTGGAACTAGTAGAGAAACAGGTATTGAGGAGCATAGTGATTTTTGTGGCACRATTATGTGACAAGAAGCAACAACAATGCCTCAAGAAAAATTCAAGGCAAGATCATCTGAAACATTGGGGGCACTCAGTGAGTACAAGCATCAGAGATCCCTTTAGATGGCCCTCTAGAACCGTGAAAGGACTTCCAGTAGGAGGCAGATGGATGCCAATCAATCACTTCTAGGAAAAATGATGCATATGTACTGGGAAGTACATTGTAATAAATAYGTATGAATATGATGGAATAAATATCCTATTGTAAAGTTTTAGGACACACATTTGATTAGAGGAGATATCCTCTGAGTGTGTCCAGTACTGTAATACAGAATGGTTACTTTCTAATACTTCAAATTGTTTAGAAAGTTTATTTTCTGTCTGGTTTTGGTATCACCTCCCTTGCTGGGGATGCTTCCTCTGCTTCCATCATCTGTCTCTGTTCCCTGTAGATGTGTCAAGAACAGAGACTCTTGCATGCCATTGCCAGCTTGGATGCCTTTTCTTTTCAGCACCCTTAGGTGTASCCATGCCCTGCCTAGCTCAGAGCTCCCTGCTGGTTTTGGTGGGTAATTTCAGAGCTGGGTAACTTGTAAAGCCAGGTTACCTGGCTTGATTGCCTCAAACCTTTAATGTTCTGCCTCTGCCTAGCCAGCTAAGGGGTATGAAGCTAACAGCTGATTAAAAAACCTGTRGGGAAAGTTCAGTCCCATTTCCATGGAAACGACACATGTTGTTCCCTCAGAGTTGACAACAAACAGAAAATTACTGTAGACAGTCTTTTTGAAATTTCATGGCTCCTAAATTCTGCCTCAGGTGATTTGGTTTTTGTGTGGTTCAAGTGATCCTTTGATAAGTATGAAATTACTTTAATTTGAATTTATTTTCCAATTTCATGAACTGTAAAGCTGGATGGCCTTAAAAAGCTCAAAGATGAATGGGTGAGTAACATTATAAACAAAAGCAAAATGCTTTTAGCTGTGCATCCATTTACTTTCCCTCTTTCACTGCAGTAATTTTTCTTAAGCACAAATAGTCAAATATATGTATGTGAGTGGTGTCACAAAGTTGTTTTTGCTCTTAAGTTRCCTTTCAGTGTCTGCAAAGGTGTCACATTCATATTCTTAAAATTACTTCTTGTTTTTCCCTCCCTGAGGGATYGAAAGCCACCTGATTAAAAATCTTATGATGTTTTAAAATGCTTTAACTGCCATGGGACTGAGCTCTATCAGCTTCAGATACCAAATTGTGCCAGCTTTTCTCTGTTCAGCTTCTCATCTTCAGGTCTCTTTTTTTGAGAAAGTTTCAGCTAAACAGATGGTTTTTCTGCTAAAGCTTGATTTCTTTGTTTCTTATTCTTTGGTGAGATGAGGACAGTGCTGGATTTGTCACTTGTCTGTGGTKTGACCCAGCAGGGCATGCGCTGCTCTGCAGGAGAAATGCAGCCTGCCTCCTCCCAGCACAGCTCTCTGTTTTAAAAGAATGGGGATAGCTGAGAGATTCCTGACACATGTACTGTCAGACCGAGAGGGAAGGACATTCTGAATAACCAAAACATCTGGATAGTAGAAGAAGATAAGAGACACTTAAGCATATATTGATTCTCAGTGCAAAATGAGTGTTGTTCAGAGTTGTGTAGTTGTAATCCTGCTGAATCCAGAAGAGACTAATTCCGCAGGATGCTCACGACTGTGCAGAATGCCRTTCTTCTATCAGATAACCATTCCTCCCCCTTTGTGAGCTATTTATCCTGTAAATACAGCCCCCTCATCCATCTTCTTTGCCAGATCTTGTTGCATTTGTTCTAGGCATCCCTTCCCAAATGTAGACTGAATCCTCCTCAGGGCTCCAGTAATTGTGGCAAGGGATTTGGAAGAGCCTGTGAGGCTGTATAATCTCCAAAGGTTACTGTTTCATCAGTGCTGCTGGGGGAATGAATGCCTGCTAGGTTTGATCAATTGTTYAAGGCTGTTACAAATCTTGCTCCATTTGAAACTTCATCTTGTTTATGAGTCATGATTAAAATTGGCCAATGAATGTGGGAGAGATTAGGGAGGCAGATGCAGAATGTGCTTAAGAAAATGCATAAACATGTAATAAAAAATCCCAATAAAGGTTTTTCTTCTAATTAAGGAAGAAAATTTCTCTTTCTGTCTGTTTCTCATTGTCATATGAAGTGAGCAATGTTGTCATCTTAATTTTGGTTTGTTTATTATTTTTAGAAAGTRTGGGTAAACTTTCTGAAGCTGCTGGCAGTAAAGGCATTTTCAGTGAACAATTTCTTACATGGAAAACACTCAAAAAGCTACATTAGATTTAGCTGTAAATGGAAACTGATGTCTTTTATTCTAAGTCCACAGGCAAATCTTAAAAGCTGTCATTGATTAARCACCTGTGTTGCAGGTATATAACAATATCCCAGTTTTGCATTATTTTTTGTGTTCTGGTAGCCCTGTCACACTGCAGAGAAAGCAAACATTTCAGGCCTGAAGAGCTGACAAGCTAAATGTTGCATGGAGGTGTGTTTCCAGGGCATGAAGCAGACGTRTGATCTGCAGAGGAAGGACAAGATCTCTTTGAAATGAAGATAGACATTTTTGGGATGATAAATGTGGTTTTACTAAAAGCATTGCTGCTTCAGCTCATTTCACAGCCCATTTGTKATCAGTTGTTCAAACTGATGTTTGTTTTCTTGTGTCAGTGTAGAATTCTGATGCCAGCAGTCCTGGTGGTGCACATCGCAGTGTTTCAGGCTTACTGCTGTGCTGGCTCGTGGTGAAATGACACAGCTTCAGCACTGATCATGCTCTTGCACAAAGGAACACAGATCTCCCTTGCCTTTCCTTCCAGGTAGGCAAGCATATCTCTGTTGTTTGCCTCTGGTTTTGCTGGGTGATTCTCAGTAAATCTTAGCAAGAACTGAATGATGGAAAAGGAAAGCTACCCCCCAAAACCATTGCATCTGTTTGCTTTTTAATACTGGAAGTGTTCTTACTCCTTCACTCCTTTTGCAGTGACTTTTGTTCAGAGACTAGAGCAAGATCTAGGGCTGAAATCTTCTGTTTTGTAGGATGATGGCTTGTTTGCRACTCAATAGTAAGAGGTGTGTAATTAAAATGTCATTTGAAAGAGACATGAATTGTGATGGCTCATGTCAGATCTCTTCTGTAAAAAGTTCTGCAAAGCACATACGGAATAARCAAACCGAGGCATGATAGAACTGCTGCATAAGATGTCATGCGCAGCACTAGAGAGTTATGGGACCCTTCACACTGGCATTTTACCTTTTTCCTGGTGACTGTGCTGGTCCTTCTTTTCTTGGCAGTTTAGCATTTTATTTTTACTGTATTATCCTCTCCTGAGATTAATCGTGTTTTCTACCTCTTCATGCCAAAAAAAGCCTCTTTGGATGTGTCTCTTAGTTTGTCATTCGTATTCTTCAGGGTGTGATATGTGTGATATTTGCAGAGATTGTAAGGAGGATATAGTAATTCTGGTGTAAATTTCACTTTGCTCATTGCTTATGTACATAGGTATGTGTATTTGCACATTTACTAGGGCAGGTAAATTCTTACAGTTTTCTGGCAGTAGTCGTTCTTGAGAATCTTTAAACTGGAGGGACTAAGTAATGGCACTTTTAATAACTTACTATGTTATGCCTTTCTTATTTTTATAAATAACTACCAGGTATTGCAGAAGAGAACCAGGTTGCAGAACTGCAGAGCACAAAGACTACACCACCTGTAAACAGACAGGCAGTAGATCTTGTCGAGGTGGAGACTCTCAGGAAGTCTGTGGAGGACTTTTTCTGCTTTTGCTATGGTGAGTGCTTTAAATTCTTCTGAAGATCTGTTCTAGATTTCTAAGTTTTCATTCCAGTTGGGAGGAAAAAACTGCATGATCTTAGCTTTCCAACTACACTGCTATTTTTAGAAACTTTTAGTAGCTGTTTCTAAGAAATACACATATAGTGGTTAGTTTTCTCCTTGATGTGATTTGAGATTATTGCACAGAGCATATTAGTGCCAGCAGTACTTGGTTTCCTGAGAAGATTTGCATCCACACTTTTCTTTTGCTCCAGTTCTATTCAAAGTTACAAAGTTTTATGAGGGACTCGTCCTTTTATTGACTTCAGCAGTTTTGACATCAAAACAACCTTCTCTTTTTTTTCCTAGGTAAAGCTTTAGGAAACTCAGTGATGGTACCTGTGCCATATGAAGACATTCAGAGGGACCAGTCTGTTGTGATAGTGCAGGGCCTGCCCGAAGGACTTGAATTTAAGCATCCATCAAATTATGATGTTTCCACCCTGAAATGGATTTTGGAAAACAAGTCGAAGATCTCTTTTAGTATCAACAGGTTATTTGCTCTCTTTGTTGTGCTGGTCTGTCTAATTTGGTTTTGTACTTAAGTAAAATTATTTAAAATTTTTAATGAAGTACATTGCAGACTGTTTCTCTTAAACAAGAGTTCACTCTGTAATGTACTCTACCAAGTATTTAACAATGTCTTTGCTAAAACTGTGAGTTTTTCTTTCCATATTTCCACACAGGCCTTTCCTAGAACCACAGAAACATATAGGTAAGTTAATGCTTATTCAGACTAAACAGAAAAAGATAGGAATTTGAGTTTAGATAGCAATAGACATAGAACATTTGCTCATGTCAATAAAGTGTCAATAAAGACCATGAACTGCCTTGCTTATGGAGCCATAACCTTTACTTTATGTGTTTTGGCAGAGGCAACTAATTAAAAATTAAATTAATTCTGTTTCATTCTTTATCATTATTAAGTTCATTCTGTTTCATTCTTTATCCTTATACTGAATTTAAATTTATTGTGAATTGTATAGTATCCTAGAGGAAGGAGGAGTGAATTTGTGAAGGAATGCATTCAGTTTTTAGAAGATGCCAAGACTTTCTAGTGCATRTGTTCCACTGCCCAGCTGATTTTGGCATTTATATCTCATTTTAAAAAATAYTTGAATCTTCTGAAGTGGCTAGGTGGTTAGTGCCTACGAAAGCCTCTATATATTAAAAATTCTGAGCTAGAGYGAGTTTTGTAAAACCATACAAAGATTCACTTCTAGCTTGGGAGAAAACCCTTCTCCTTTCATGGTATCATGTTGCATTACTTGCTAAGTTCATAAGTGTGAGCATTTGTTTTATGAAAATTGATGAAACAATTCCTGTAGGAATGTAGTCAAGACAGAAAATTTCTTAGGGGAAAGAGCCAGAAGTTGATGCTTGATTAGTAAAATTAGAGATGTGTTGCCTATGCTCAGKTAGAAGACTAGAGATGGAAAATGACAGAGATTCTGATAATAATATAGTGCCATCAGAAATACAAGATAGGTTTTCAGTGCGGTGGCATTTAAAAAATTCAAGCTGTTTGTGTCTAGGTACAGTTTAATGGGATCTTTCTCTCATTACCTGTGGATAAGGAAAATAWGTGCATATGCTTGTAAAATGTGAACAGGTTTTTGCTTTGTGAAAYCAGTGTTTTATTTTCAATTTGTATTTAAAGTAAATGGAGTACAGGAAATTCAAATATTGTCTTTTAATTTTCAGGAGCTGATATGCCAGATCCTTCACATTCAATTGTATCTCCATGTGGAAGGTAAATTTAAAATAGTGTAGATTTTTAAAAAAATTAAATACCTRTTTTTATGTGGTTATCTTTGCCTTAATGTGCCTTTTCTGCCCAGCTGAACTTGAAATAACTTCTGTTTGCTTGGCATTACAGAAAGCATGAAGCTCAATCTCCTCTTTCTTTTGATCATTATTTGTGACGAAACCATTACAAGTTAAACAAATGGCAAAGTTTCTCCTCAGTGTTATTAGCCCAATAGGTGTTCTTAATTCGCAGTCTGTTAGGGCTGAGTTTGCCATGCTTTATGGTTCAGCAGTGAGGGAGAACAGATTTAATTCTGCTTCCTTCCCCATCCTCTTAAAAAAAAGATGAAYTTTTTCACATTGTAAATTGTAAATGAAGATACTGTATTTGTAATACATTAGAAATTTGTTAATGTGAAAGCAGGGATCAGTTTTCTGTAGTTCTGTGTTAGCTTCTCATTAAACGCTAAACATGATTTGAATATTATGTATGCGTCAAAAGAAGGAATAGGAAATTGCTGGCAATTCCCTGGTGAGAAATCAGAAAAGCCAGTATGCAGGGATTTTTATTTTTGTGTTCTTGTTGGAAAAAATTCTGAGAGATTGATTTTACTTGATAAACTATGAAGTGTATGAGGGGAGARCAAAAAGGAACTACACACAATTCAATATGAATCAAGCATWAGCTGATTTATTGCAKTTTCTTGCACCTTTTTATAACCAAAACTACTTCTGTACATKCGACTACATRTATCATGATTGGTTACATGCGCTGTTCACATGACRTTCATGTGGCAAAACTACTTCTWTGGTTGGCTGGCATTATTTACRTCAAGTTGGCAGCAAATAAACAAAAAGCTTCTTGGAGCCCCTATTGCTTGAGTTTTTTACTCCCTATCTTGTTACAAAATTCTTTCTTCCTKCCTTTGCTCATCCTTGTTAACCTGGCCTATGYRTCAGCAGGTCTCTCTCATTACTGGTGCAAAATGTCCATTTTCTTGTMARAATAYGTTTTCCACAATGTAGTTTGAAGAACTWCCCAGAAATCTAAGGTTTATTTTTAGTAATATCATTCTGTTTGACTTGTCTATTTTTATAGTTGTCCTCCTGTTAAAGTGAAAATGGAACCAAGCAAGGATTCTGGTATGTTCAAAATTTTGCCTTAATTTGTAGAAAAAAAAAAAGGGTCAGATTCTATTCAGAAGAYTCAATTTAAGCAAAGATAGAATGCTCCAAAAAAAAAGGGAAGTAGCAAAAAGACATCCTTGGTGAGATGGAAAAGGTTTTCTTTCTTTGAAACTGTCCACTTTTCAGTTGGGAGTTTTTATCAGATACTGAACCCTAGTCAAATGCTTCCATTTGAAGAGAGAGGAAATTTGTAATGCATTGTAGRCTAAATTTGTCTTCATGTAATTTAGAGAAGAAGAAATTCCTCTATTTTGTTGGGTTTTTTTGTTCTTATTCTAGATGTCTTTGTTCCTAATGGGAAGCAAAATCTTGAGTTATTTGTTAATATTCCAGACAAGTACTGAAAATGAAAAATGTCCATTTTCTAGCCAAAATAGAAATCAAAAATTCATAAATAACARGATGTGTTACTTGTTAATAAAAAGTTGCCAGATCATTCCTAAGTTGCTCTGCAGGTAGCAGATGATTCCCCAAGGCACTGGGATCTGTGGCAGAGTAATGCTTAAGTGTGTGCTCTGAGGTAAAGGCATGGATAATCCCACTAAAGCCAGTAAGGCWGCAGGTGTGCTGGCAGATAAAATGGTGACTTTCCCTTTTGCTGGCTTGGGCTGCACTGCTCACTTTCCTATTAGAATTAAGTTTATATATGTAGTCCAGCTTTTTGCTCTTGTTCTTTGTGCTTCAGAACCTTAAATTTGTGGTTTAGGAACCCTCAATGTTTAATGTTCTGCTTGACGTGCAGAAGGTGTTGGACCATTTTGCCAAGTCAGTCCCATACTCTTTCCAGGGCTGCTTTCTAGGCATTTAAAGTAATTCTCACAGAAGAATGAGCAAGAGTTTTTCCAGGACTTTCAGCACAAGTAATAAAACTATTTTTTCCTTGTGGTAGCATGTAAAGAAGGAGGAGCCCATTTTAAAAATATTCTTCAGATCTGAGGTAGCATCTGCAGGGAAGCCTAGTTTGTAGGGAAGTATTTAATCCTGGATCCTTTCTGGGGATGACCAAACTGAAACATAGGAAACCAGAAAGTCACTTTGTTATTGTTTGAGCTCAACAGATGTGTAATGTCTCTTTTTTCTTCTTCTTNTTTTATTTTTTTTTTATTTTGCAAGAGACCAGCGAGGATCTTGGTGGGTGCTTTTGTTTGTTTTGTTTTAAGAATCTGCTTATTACTAGTTTCTGTATTTGAATCTTTTGTTGCTTCTACAGGAATTTCTTCAAAAATGTCAGCAGTAACAATGAAGCAGGAAACAGATAATCATAACTAYGATCAATTTAGTACTCCAGGTAATGATACTAATTTTCCTATGTGTTTATCTCATGAAAGCATTGGTTGCTTAAATGTTGATCTCTCCATGCCTCTTTATTTGCTAATTTTGGTCATTAAACACGCAATAACTTAGCTCTGTCATTTCCATGCTGCCTATCATTTGAGTTATTCTGTAGACTACCAAAAGAACTAAAGAATAACTTCATCTAAACTCATATGTCTGTGTTTGGTCTGAAAGAGAAGTTCCAGGACTCTTTTGAACTGCTTTATGTATTTTTCTGAGGGTTCAGTGTGGAGACTCTATAACTCCAATGATTTCATTAAACAGGAAATAAACCTTTTTAGTGATGCTTTCTAGAGCACTTCTTGAATTTGTTCTTTAGTTTAAAATCTCAGTAACTTTAGAGCTTTAGTAATTAACTATGGGATTGTGGAATTACTGTTTTTGTTCTGGCATGTCTCAAGTAAATGAGCATCATTCAGAGATCTCAGCCATACCACAGTAAGAAGTCACCCACTGAGTGCAGAACTGGAAAGGTGTTAGGGTTATCTGCTCTTCATATGTGTACATTGCGTAACCCTGGAGGATGAGGAGTTTACAGGCATGATTTAATGTAGTAAAAGTAGATACTGGTTTGAAGACAACCTAATCATTGTTCCTTCCAAAGACAGGTGTTCTCATCCTTTTGCTTTTCCCCCACATGGGGGTTTTCCATTTCAYRCAWAAAAAYTRTGTSAGAATTTAGCCAATAGCMCGCTAGTGTGTAACTCAATGCTGTCTGAAGAGAGTCTGCACTGAAATCACTTCTTTACRAAACAGTTTCCATTGCACTGCAGTGCATTTGTCTGAGCTGAAAAATCGAAGTTATACAGTATGCTTCCAGAGTGAAGTTATAGCACATTTGACTGTAGAGGGTTTCTGTTGTCTTTCACAGAACTCTACATTTAAATCTTCTGATTGATGAAGAGCAATATACATCCTTTCTGATAAAGTGGTGCTTGATTAATAACKCCCCCTCTCCACTTGCAGTGCAGTTCTCCAAAATTGCATTTAAAACAAGACAAAACTGATTATATTGGTAGAAGTGATGGGGTGCTGCGAGCTAAAAGASATATTTTCTCTTTCATGTCATGTCRTGCTGACTTGACAAGTAAAGCAACTTCCTCTTCATTCTTCAAAGAGCTACCACTCTGATTCAAGCCAAAGGCTGTCCAAAGTGTAGATAGAGAGCTATAAATTCTAGAGGCACATAGGTGTTTGTGTGTGGGTGGTGGTGCTGTACAAGAAGTGAACCTTAGAAAAGTGCAGTTATTCTGAGGGGTGTTCCTGAGGAATGACATAGTCTGCTCCAGCATTGCCTTTGGAGAGAYGTGCTGCAAAACAAAGAAAATGGATAAAGTAACAGATTTTGCTAAAARTAACCTACAGCAAAAGCTTGCCCATTTTTGAGAAGAAGCAACTTAACTATTAGAGAACAGCATACTAGGACTTCCTGGAGAAAATGATTTACTGATACAATTTTATGGTTATGTTTTTTCTTTAAGTGCTTCCTSTCAAATATCTGTAATGCTGGTCAAAGCATTGTGTGCCTGAGTGGCACACTAACTCTTCCTTYTAATGAAACAGGGAAAATTGTATCTGTGGGTGGATGTTCTTTTCATCTCAGTAGTAGGTTGCACCATTTGGATGTTGCCATGAGTTAATACTGGATTACTAAATTTRGAATTGTTTTAGCAATACATAGTAAGAAGACTGAGAAATGGACTTCAGCCATTTTAAATTTCATGTGGGTGTTTTGACAGAATATATGAGGCATTTTTCTATCAGTGGGCACTAGCAGTATGGCAATGGGTGTTTTTTTTCCAGTGTCCAGGACAAAAGTGAAGGTTACTGCAATGTTAAACTTGGGGGAGGCCAAGGACAACCTGTTCTGGAAAAAAGGTCCAGATTTTGATGATTGACTAAATGAGGAAAAGGACTGAGTAGTGATCATCARGACTAAATGACACATCCTGTAGCATTCCAGCTATCATAGTTGATATTCTTGCATGTGTCTTGCCTGGCCTAACTGTTGTGCTAGTTTGAGAGCTMGCGGGGTAATTACCACCACACAAATATGTTGCAAGAGAATCTAAGTCAGAACTATACTTTAATAGGAAAAATCAAAATAAAGGCAATAATACAGAAACAACAGCCTTAACTGACAGAGTACAACCTGACACCCTGTTGGGCAGGGTGGTGGCTGCAGCCCTGTTGGAGTGATGGATGTGCGCTGGTTCAATGTTCAGTGGTGGCTGCAGTCCCGTTGGAGTGATGGATGTAGCCTTGTTGAAGTGGTGATCCCAATGACAGGTTGAGTCCGTCTCTGGAAGTCCAGTGGAGGTTCTTGAGCCTCTCTCCTCTGGGAATCCAGAGGAAGAAGCGTCCCAGTGTTGCAGAGCCTCAGTTTCTGTGCCAGTAGGGATGTGCAGTTGCTCCTGTCTGGGCAAGGCATCTCCCAATGGATGATGGAATTCCATGGATCATTGCCAGAGCCCTGGATGGCCCATGAGCAGAGATGGCCCCCGGAGGGTGTGATCAGGGTTGGGTCGTGCTGAGGATAAAGGGCACTTCCCCACCTGGTTTTAACAGCTTATGGAAATGGTAACAGAATACAGACTGTTTTGATTACACCTTCCATGTACAGTTATTATGTCCCTTAGGTAAAAAAACGTAACTTAAAATGCTGTTTCCTGGTTTAGTGTTTTAAATATAATTTAATATTTTTATTTGAAACTAGCAAATAATAATCTCTCCAGAGTCAGATGTATTTTCAGATTTGAGAATACCTAATTTGTCCTAAAGAAAAACAAACATTTTAAGCTCAAAAGTGCAGCACCACGGAGTGAGTGCTGAGTGCTCTGTGCTTCATCAGCACAGGSTTAAGCAGGGCTTTCTGGAGGCATAGCCCATACAGAACTGAATTATTTGCTGACTAAGGACCAAACGCTTTGTAAAGGTGGTATGTTATCCTGTARATTTTGTGGATGTAGGTCTTCACTACTACTGATGCCTTGAAGTTAAAATGAAGGAAAATGGAAGCAGAAGGAAAAGGCTGTAAACAGTCTGTCCTGTGAATTGGCTGGTCCAGTTTATGAAACACCAAGAAGGGAGTAAAAACTGCCTAGCAGCTTTTCTCTTTAAAACACCATGTAGTTGAACRGTGTTGTCAGGTTTGAAATTTTTGACAATGTTAGCGAGACAGTTAAAATATAGGACATTTCATCCAAATCCAAATTATATTGGAGATGTCTTCTTCTAGAAAGAAAAAGSCCAAAACTGGAATGAAAATGTCATGGTTTGAACTCTGGCCAAATGCCAGGCACCTACAACATCCATGGTTGGGCAGAGGAGAGGGAAAAAAAAAACCTAATTAACACAAGGATTTATGAGTTGAGATAAGGAAACCAAGAGAAAAAATGCTCCAAGGTCGAAACAGGCTTAGCGTCAAAGTAAATTTATTGCTGTATTACAGAGTCAGAAGAGGATAATGAGAAGCAAAATGGATTTTTACAACACCTTTCTCTTTCCTCCCCCCGCCACCCTCTCCTGCCTTCCCGTGAACAGGGACAAGGTATGAAGTGTTTTAGTCAGTTCATGACCAGGACATTGTTCCGTTSCTTAGGGAGAGGGGTTCTCTCTTGCTCTGCCRTGGGGTCCCTCCCATGAGAGGCACTATATCAAAACTGCTGATGGCATGGGGTTCCTCATCCATGGTGTGGGGGGAGTCCTCCAAGGCCAGGCTATTCCATCTCGGGAACGCCTTTCTCTCTCTGTAAGTCTCACTCTCTCAGTGGGTCTTTGTCGATTTGAATGCTGGCCAAATGCCAGGCACCCACAACACCTGCTCACCSRCTCACCCCCACCACCACTGGGCAGACAGCAAAGGAAAAACAATGAACAAAAGAGTTCATGAGTTGAGATAAGGACCAGGGAGAAAACATTCCAAGGACAAAACAGGCTCAKCTTAAGTTACAAAGTGAATTTATTACTAACAAGGTTCAGAGGAGGAGAATGAGAAGTAAAATAAAACCCTTAAAGACACCAATCTTCTCTTCACTCCCTCCCTCCTTTGCACTGACAATGCTGGGGGTGGAGTGGAACAGGGTGTGGGGTTGGTCAGTTCAATCACCCAGATC